CAAGTCATTGTCAATGACACGTCCCCGTTCCGTTCATATTTGAGTGACATATACATTCAAAGCAGATCATGACCGAAATGCACCTGCATATGTACAACACATTGTGCTAAATCTGAACAAAATCCATCCATGCATGACTGAGATCCGGTTCTGGAATTGTGAAAATACGTGATTTTGATGCATTTTCGGCCTTAAAATGGCCATCATTCCACTATTGTTAAGCAGATCATGAAACAAATGCACATATCTATTTGTGACATGATGTACCATGTGTGTGTGAAGTTTGAACTTGATCAATCCAGACATGTCTTGGATACGGATCCAGAACTGAATTCTTTAAAACAAAATGGCCGCCAGTCGGCCATTTCGAACCCGATCCAAAAAAAAAAAATGACGTGCATCAAGGTCCTATTATGTTTAATGTATGTACCAAATTTGAACAAAATCCGTCCATGCATAACTGAGATCCGGGTCCGGAATGGTGAAAATGTGCGATTTTGATGCATTTTCGGCCTTAAAATGGCCGCTATTCGGCTATCGTTAATCGGATCATGAAAAAAATGCATGTGCATATGTCCCATATAAGGTGTGATGTATGAGTGAAGTTTGAACTTAATTGGTCCATGCATGTTCAAGATACAGGTGATCACGGACGCACGGACGCACACAGGGCAAAACATAAGTCCCCGTTTTCGGACTGCGTCCGAACGGGGACTAACAAACCAGAGCACAAGAGAGCAGACAACCACCTGCACAACATTGCGCCAGGAAGACTATAGGCCATCACCGACAATTTAGGAATGACATCTCCTGGAGAATAATGCCCCTTTGAATGACAGCAGGAATTGAAATAGAATTTTTTTCCCTGCATACACAATGTGCATGTTCAATTTGAAATTTACCTGCACTAACTTGTTGTGAAATGCATGGCCACCACTTTTAATGAATTTTACGGGTTCTCTATCAATGCGATCAAGAAAGAATTTGCTTTTTTTTAGTTGTCTTACAACATTGGTTGAACTTAATTTAGGCTTAGTGAATATAACTAGAAAATGTTGTGTTAATTTCTACATGCACATTGTACTTTGAGTTTACTTGCACTAGCTAACAATCTATGTGCATAGTGCACCAGAGTATTTCAACCCCTGGACAGTGACCAATTCAGATAACCTTTCTTGGAAGGTTAGCAAATTCTAGGGGTCTGACTTTCGAGACAATATAATTAATGAACTCTCGATTCTGACAAGATTTTCTTTAATTTAATATACATAAATACACCAGCAGTCGTGCTAATGTGATCGTCAAGGATTGGTAAAACGAACATGGTCAAGATTCTCACTTTGTACATTTTTTATTACAGTTTTTAAAAAAAAAATACTCATAAAATGACTTCAATAAAAATTGAATATTTGTATATATAATTTCCCCACTACAAACACAAATTTGTATATAGCTATAAATTGTTAATGTGCTAACATTTTTTTTTATATATAAAATGGAGAACTTTTGTGCATTTTATTCTTTCATTTTTTTTTCTCCAATTCTGTATTTCAATACAATGCTAAATATAAAACTGAAATTTAAAATGTTGTTCATGCAATCTTTGCATGTGCATGTTATATATATTTAGATGCAATTTTCTTTTCACAAATATACGCATTTATTTTGTCGTTTTATTTGGTCTTGTCATGCGTTAGTGGCCGCCAAACAAGGCCCTGAAATGCAAATGTTTCAATAAAACCCCCGTGAAGACTTTGGAATTGAGAAAACTTGAAAGGGTAAACTGTCGAAATGGTACTTTATTTTAGACACTAAGCAAGATTAAAGTATTGCAATATTGACCCAACATAACAGCATGCACATAACAGGAAATAGATTTGTGATTGATTCAACCAATCATTTACCAGCTGTTCACACAGCACAAATTTTTCACCCCAGATGTAGTCATTCAGTCATTACCGCAAATTCTTCAAAATTCATCAAAATATATGGGGCGAAAAAAATTGAACGAAAACAAAATGCAGTCTTTAATTGTTTTGCAAAACAAGTATAGATTAAGGTTTTTATGCTGCAAGCGCATTTTGAGCAATCTGTTGTAAAAATGTTGACCCAATCAAGAGACTATTTCTCATTTGTCTTGCGTAGTTCTGAGTGCAAGATGGTAAACCTGTTAAGGATGGACACTGCTAAAAATTTATATAAAAACAATTTTAACCCAGCAAAATTTTCTATTAAAATGAATGGCAAATATTCATACCTGCAAGTGTGTTTTATAAGTTAGTCAGTCATATTTCGAGTCAAATGAATTCATAGTAGTTGTAAATGCTGGTGCATTTAGGGACATCCAATATAGTTAAACAATAATGTACTCCCCAGTGGCTCATAATGAATGAAAGCACACTTAGCACAACATAATGTGTGAAGCGTAGCCGAGCACATTATGGAGTGCAAAGGGTGCTACCATTCATATGCATGGTACAGGGCCTTGATGCTCAAACAATGACATACATTATCGCAAATAATCTGTGGCAATGACGTCATAAAATTCACTGGTATTGACAATGCTATAATATAATTATGCATAATGTTACATGACTATATATGGTCAGATATGCAAATCATGCCTCTTCTCCAGTGCCTTCTATAGGCCTGGTTGCATGCATTTATCTGCTACAGTTCTAAGGAATTTCAATTATGCATCTTAATAAGATCACACAACCCCTTTCATTGATTTGAAAATGAAATTTCAATTTGAAAGTTTTAAGAGACAATTCTCAATATTAATGGTTGCTTATTCAGTATACAGTGCATACATGGGCCCTACCCCTTTCCCATGATACAAAATGCACATCAAATCTGTGGACCCATGTACCAAATTTAACTGAAATCCGGTGATTATTGTAAAGCAAGAGAAATTGGCCAATTAATATGCAAATTAGGTCATTAATATGCATGGGGATTTCAATCAAACAACTAAACTTGTTTGTGCAATATCCCAGGACATCTATGTACCCATTTTCATTGAAATCTGTTTAATAGAACACAAGAAAATTGTAAAAATGCTATAATTAGCCTATTTAAACAAAAACCTAAACAAATATGCACATTAGCTCAGATCATCTATGCATCAAGTTTCATCAAAAACCAACATGTGGTTATTGAGATATCACTGCAACAGACTCGTGTATACATACACTAACTGCAAAGACCTCCATTGTTTGCTTTGCATGCTGGAGTCAGAAATAGAGTGCATTAAAACTTGTGGTTTCCATAGCGTTAAAATACTGCTCTAGGGTCCATTTGAATTGAAAAATGGATCAAAATATTAACAACTGAGGTTCACATCGCAAACTAGTTTTGGCAGTCAGAAAAAAAATTTTTGCAAATAAATTCAATTAAGAACTGTATTCACTTCCAGCATTTCTGTGACTGTATGTACAAAATACTAAAAAATATTAACCCTAGAATTGACTAGATAATCTATAAAAAAAATTGAACACATGAAATTAAATACTTTTCTGCAACAGCTGTTGCCTACAGATGACCTCATTCTCATCAACATAGAGTATAAAACAGATATAGTATTCATTCAGATATCACAGCAGAGATGGTGGTGCGAATTTTTTTTGTTTTGGGGGAGAGGGGGGTAGGCCGTCTCCTGCTGGAAGTAATGTGCTCCTGCTGGAGGTCATGTGCTCCTTCACTACTCATTTATGTGCAATTTTATAAAAAAAAACATTAAGACTAAACATAACCAGTTGACCGGATCGGACCGGACCATCTATACGGGCATCTGAATGCAAATAAACTACGTTTGCCCCGATTCACATCAGTGAGTTGATAATTGCATCATCGTATAACCAAGGGTTGCAACATCTGGTGCAACACTCACCTATAAATGACTCATCCCTGGGTAGGAATTTAACCGAGAACTCTTAGCAGAGCAAGAGTCTAGGGTTCACCAACCAGTCCCATGGGGGGTCGGATGTACTCACCTTCAGTAATGTCCCATGGTACACCACCAAGGAAGACTTTGCAAGAGTAGGTGGGATTTTTATGTTGTCTGCTTGGCAAGTGACCACTCCAGGTGTAGCTTGGCTCACACATAGCTAGAGACAGAATAAATAAAATAATTTTATAGTTTCCTTATGTGGACGGATAGTGGGTATTGTAATATTGTTGTTGATAATATCTACTAGAGTCTTGAATACTGAATGAAAAAAAGTTTTGTTTTGCATGGCGTGATAAAATGCCTAACCGAGCTGACACAAAACATTTGCATGTGCAATCGTGATGGTCAGAATTAGCTAGCATTGAATAATTCACTGACAACTGCCTTTATTTAATCCAATCATGAACCGTACAGTATGATGCACATTGTTAGAAATCTCGGTTGTAAACTTTGAATTAAATTTTAAATTCTTGAATGGTGGAAATATTAGACCGTTGGGCAGGAGGTAAACCTATAAGAACTAAAGTACACGATGGGCTGTAATCTGTTGTTGATTTTAGTTGGCAGACAGTTATAAAAAGTATGCCGACTGGATGCCACCAGCCGCACCTACACAACCGATTATATTCATTTATAAATCTCACCTCAATCCCATTTTTTACAATGAATACAGACCAACAGCATGAATTGGATAGACAGATACTGTTAACCATCTGTTTTTTTCATCACTAGAGACTCATGATTGCATGACGACATTAGTTTCATAGGACTATATTCTTTATGCCACCCACAAAGTTTCCAAAATTTACGAAAACCTGTCTATAGCGATAGCGTAATTAAAGCGATTCAGTGGTCTTTACAGCAATATTACCTGCAGCTTGTCTTGACTGCTTTGCCAACTGTTCAATACCATAGGGATCTGGAAAGAGGAGCGAGTCTAAACCAGTCCAACGTCGATCTGATAGCAAGCCAGCGACAACAGAGGTATCATCATAGGCAAGGTCGTCTTGTCTTGGTGCACGTCTTGGTTGAGGTCTTCTTATCACTTCACTCTGAGTTGGAGTTTGACATTGACTTTGAAGTCTTGCTTGGTTATCAATATTCAAAGTCCTCTGTTTATATAAAAAAAAAAAAAAAAAAGTTGTCCAACTCATGTTTGATAAGGAACTAGTTAATTAGGCAAATTTTAACAGGGATTGCGTTAACCAATATTTTGCTTCCCGGACTCCAATCAATCAATCAATTATTGAAGTGGGCCCGATTTGAGTGCTGGTCGCTATTTAATATTCACGAGATAATTAATATATTCACGAGATAATTAATATATTCACGAGATAATTAATATATTCACGAGATAATTAATATATTCACGAGATAATTAATATATTCACGAGATAATTAATATTCATTTTTCCATTCTACTAGCTAGGATTTAACTACTTTATTTTAACTTTTATTTTAAATTTCAATGTAAAATTAATCTGCTTTGATAAAAGTGAAAAAATATATACACTTTATTTTCGTAATCATGTCTAAAATACGTATTTTGAGACATTAACCTCTGACCTGGCAGCCATTTTTTTGTCATAATATGTCGTCTGTTACGGCCAAAGTGGAAACAAGAATTTAATTGTTTTCTTTTCCAATGGAATGCTGGTAAATCAAATTAATAGTGAGAAATAAGTATTCCTTGTATTGCTGACTGAATATCGCTTATGAATTTAATTTTATGAACGAGTCATGTAGCCAAAGACATTGATGAATGTTACTACACTCGAAGTGCAGATTAAACTAACGGCACTTGACGCATCGCTGCCTGTGAAGTGAGCAAGTTATTGTTCAACTCGACAAATCCCACCCAACTAAACTTGCAATGGTAATCCTTCAGTTTATTTATCGTCGTCGTCGTCGTCGTCGTCGTCTTCACTTTCATTATCTTGATGTACGACTTATTCCGATCTGGTTCGTTTGTTAAACTAACAGAATGTCAATCTGAGGTTAAAACAAAAACACATAAGGACGATGTCACATGTGTACGTTGATTTTGTCTTCTTGCATTAAAGTTTTATTGAGTGTTAATTTTTTGCATTGTGTTGTGTGTTAAAACCAACAAAGACGATAGAACGATTATTCAGTGATATCCTGTGTCTATCAAATAGAATAGTGCCAATCGCCAACATTTTTTCCCCTGGTCGGAAATTCTGAGTGCCGGTCGCGGCAAGTAACCCTCAAACACTAGTCAATTTACTATCATGCATCTGGTAATGCATAGTGATTGGTCAACTTTTACCACCACCACCACCCAACAAATGTGCAAAATATTTAAATAATATGATACCAGTATTCAATGGGTTAAATGTGCAACACCTACCATGAGATCTGACAGTCCATCAACCATCGATTCCGAGCCACCAGAGCTGACACCACTAGTATCTGAATCACAGGGACTTGTGCTGCGCAGACGATCTTTAGCTCTGAAGCCAGGATCCCAGAATGGTTGAGGAGATGGAGGGGATGGGGATCCAAACGAGCTAGTTGACATACTGCTATCGGCATCTAGATGTTGACAGTTGACGTAGTAGTCAAGTGGAAGGCCAGCTCCACTGAATAGACTGTCTAGTTTGCTGTTATCTTGGGAGTACACATTGGGAACGCTGGGTTTGGGGCAGGCACTGGTATTAATTGGTGGGTTGGTCTGATAGGGTTGCATGGACGCCGAAGTTACCATTGGAAAGGCATCCACAGAAAATGGTGAGTGTGAATTCGCCAAATTTAACATCTTCATAATGTTGCAGTCTGGGAAGTGAAAGACAAACCATTGTTAGTCCCCGTGAACCAATTTTATGTGCACTAACACATTTTATGCCTGGCCTATTTTTTTTTAAAAACAAAATTCAAAAGAAGTGTCCAAAAACAAACAAGAACACTTGCAAAGAGAAAATTAACCATTTTAAAGTAATGGTGCGACAGTAATCAGGAACATTATACCTTGAGAATTTAATTTAATCACAATACCTCACTCAGCTTTTATAAAATGTTAATAAGAATATTTTCTTTTTTAAATATATTTCGTACCAGGCAAGTTCCCAATATTAAATGTGACACAGATACACAAAAATCTATTGTAATGTCATTATATGGCAATTTAATGTACCATACCAGTGACAACCACTAATCAAGCACCTGCTGACTGAATTTCTCATATGGATATCAAAACTAGTCGTAAAGCACCATTTGAGGACAAGGCTATGGATGCAAAGGACAGACCCACACAATTTCCCATACCAACATCGTCCATAATATGGCATGTTCATGATGAAGGTTCAATGCTTTTGTGTTTTTATAATAAAATTTGTCACTAATCATTTCAACCCCCTCCTTCCAGATCTACAATGTAACCCATTACGTCCCGGCTTGGGACACAATTTAAATAATGCAAAAATCAATAATTCATCATGCAAGATATTAATGCTCAAAAAATGAAATTAACCCAGGCTTGTCTGCAAAACTTGACATCTTGACCTTAATAATAATACATATATCTTCTAATTTTGAACAAAAATAAATCAAGGAATGTCTAAGAAATTATGGCAGACTGAATCCACAACAAAGTCTGTTTTTAGATTCCCAAAATTAAACCATTCAAATATCTTAAATGTTTCAAATGCTAGTATTTACAAATATTTCATCAGCTTTAAAGTGCATTGCACTATTAAACAAGAGCAAGTCGCTTGATATCAGGCCACTGACAAAATGTGCTTCAAAATAAATTAAGTTTATCAAAATTTTGTTAATTTATTATACATCCATCGTGGGACCCTCGAGACATACACAACTATAAAAACATTTAACAAAACGTGCACTGCGCAGTAACTGCGACACTGCAATAATAGAACACTGAATAATGTAATAAATATTTATCTGAAAATGTAGCACTACTGTCAGTCGAACCTGAAAATGATTAAGCAATGAAACAAGTTGATGCCAGACATTCAGTCATACAAACTACTGAAAAGCTAAAATAAGTTCACAAAATCTATATATACGGTATTACTGATCAGGATTCTAGATATGGAATTCTAGTTGGTTAATACTCCTTCACATTTAACTAGGCCACACTGAGCTAGAAATTGATAAGCTACTTAATTGTGTCATGCATGGCTTCATTGAAATTTGACATGAATATTATTAGTGAGGTACATTTGTTGTTTTATTTATACACCGAAGTCAACAAGACCATGCATGTTATCATTTATAGACAAAGATTGATTAACTTCAACTGCAGTTTGCTCATTGAGTGAGCTTGTGACGAGACTTTGGGAACTCAATGTGATGCACCAGTGCTTCACAGAGTGGTGAGGCACCTGCCAGCCTAGCCAATCAAATGTTTTTGTTTGATTTAATATAATCTAAATGTTTTCAAATGAAAACAGTTCACAGGTATACATGGGTTTGACAACATCAGTATATACTCTTGGCAAAACAAAGGCATTCCCTCAACATTTATAATTTTCAACAACTGTCATACTAGTCAAACAATTGGAAATTTTTTTCTTTTTTTAAATTGTGAAATTTATGAATATTTATAAAGATAAAGGGAATGCCTTTGTTGCACAAGAGCAGCCACAAGGTTTGAAACTAGTCACATAATATGTAGCAATGTCATTGAACAGTCTAATGTAACATTGCTTGGCAACAAAGCAACTTTTTTTGCAACATAAAACTGCACAAAATTATTCCAATATAGAGCCGTCTTGAAACAATAGATCCCTTTTACAGTGGTGCTAGTCTAAATATATTTGGCTCAGACAAATATGACTGGATGACCTATCAACAAAGAAATCCTGGTATCGAAAACATTGCATGAATGAATCTCTCGATTATAATAATATGAAGCCGTAAAAAGTCAGTTTTAAAAGCAGTTTAAACTAGCTCTATAATTTTACAACACATTGTCAATGAATGTAGTAAGATTACAATTGTATTTCCATTCGGGACAATACTACAAGTACCTGCTGCATACAAATACTGTTTATTTTAATTTTTTTTTTAATTTGTAATTAAAAGTCCAACAATGTATCTGACAATACAGTGGTCTAGAATAAAGAATCTCAATTTTACCTTTCAACTTTTGAGGCCACTGACATTAAAGAAAATAAACGCTTTTTAACCTCTTTATAACAATAACATACCAGTATTTCATTTTCGGATGATTTGATTACTAGATTTACGTCTTTAAAAACCTGTTGGTGAATATTTGCTACGTTGCGTTGCGTTTTTGAGCGAGACTGAAAATACGTATATGCGACATTGCTTTAAAATGTATTCATGTCACAGTCAGAGCGGCGTGTCGATCTCATGGCCAGACACAATAATTCTTCCCACCCATCAGAGAGCAATAAAATGAGTTTTCATTTTAAATGACAATGTAAAACCAACTAACTTCGACACATAACTGAAAGAAAAAAATATCTTACCGTCGCGATAGTCTCGTCCACTGCGGGAGAGCTGTTCGCTGCCAAACTTAGGCGGAGGACTCGCACAGATTCCAGACAAGTTTAGCGAGTTGTCCAGAATTGCATTGATTCTATGGAAGAGGTCCGTGTTGCCACAATGCAATGGGTTTGCACCCATGTGTGGTGCAGTCAATGGAATCTCTCCGAGATAATCGTCTCCGCGACAATCCTGTGAAAAGCCCTGTGGTATTGGAATATTCAAAAATAAGCCATGATTAGAAGAAAATGGCTAAAACATGGCACAGGTTTTGCTCAGTGTTATAGACTAAAATACATTGGCATCATTATCACGTGCTAATTCTCATCCTACAGACTACGCAGGACAGACACAACCATTTTTCATGTGGGGGTTGATAAATTGCGATATCTTTGCCAGTTCGTTTTTGCAATTTGTTCAGATAATTGTTTCATTTCATTCGATATTAAATGCTTGTTTAATCTTCGCGACTTAGTTCATATACTACAACGACTACGATGGACGGAACTAATTATTGCTCAAATTCTGAAATACGGCCGCGAAAAAAATCGATTGTCCCACTTTTGCTCATTGGGCTTCCCCAACTCGCTGAGAACTTTAAAATCGAAAAGTACTGTTTTGCGTCTTTCTGCTCAGCATGTGATTTCAGTTTTTCGAAAAAGTGGAAAATAATGCGATTTTAGCAACGTTTAGGTATACTTGCACATTTAGGCAACTGTGCACGATAAAGAGTATGTATAGAATGTTCCTTTTCCGCGGGTAATAGAAATATGCGCCTATTTCACACGTGTTCAATGTAGGTCAGGCTTGTCAACCTGACGGTGGGCCCGGGCGGATAGGGAATATTTCATAAACTAAATAGCGTGGTATATTAACTCTTAGGGACATAAACGAGTGTTCACTAGAGTCGCTGTTGTAAACATCGTTAATGCATTTGTTCAAAATAAGTTAGTTCGTCGCAGCTCAGTGTCCAACCGATATGCGACATTTTGTGAGATTAGCATCCCTAACCCGAAAAAGTCTAAATTGTAGCTAATTTAACATATTGCTTCATTTGTATCAAGTTTGAACCTTGAAGTCTGCTTTCTGGGTCTGTTGAGTTGGCAGTGTGCAATTTTTACCCTCTACTAAATCACAGTACTGATTTGATTGCATTAAAGCGTGGTGGTCGTTCCCAGCTCGTTTTCGAATTTCATGTAAATAAACAATGTATTTTACACGCGTTGTATAGTCGCTACGAGTCCCATATCGAATAGGGCGCGGCACGACGACTGCCGCCCTTTAATTTTTGTGTTTAGTGCCTGATATCACCGGGTAATTTAGTGTTGTGAGGCGTATTTGGAGATGTCAAGTTTTCTGCACCGTGACACTGATTGGGATCTGGTACAACTACAAGATCTGAAAATGGATATTTGACTGGAAACTACTTTCCTATGATTAACGACATTTTTGTCACCAACGGGAGGGGTGGTACTGGTGTCAAGCAGCAAACTCATTTTGAGATTCGGGTTCTAATTTGTAACCTTGTTGCAATGAAAAATATCACATTTTAATTGGGTTAAAGCAGTCGCGTCGCGGCGCGTCGTGTTCGATTTATGTAGCGATCTACTTCTAGTGACGAATACAACTCGCGTAAAATGCTTTGTTTACGTGAAATTCGAACACGCGCTGTGCTACGACTGTAGCGCTTAGTGGGGTCGGGTGGGTGGGGCGCTTGAAAAAATATATATATTACAAAATTTTCGTCTCGGATAAATTTTTTTTTCCCTCTCCACTTTAGTTTATGCAATCTTGATTGTGCCTGCTATTCGGATTCAAACGAAGTTGACTTCTAAATTGCGAGAGTGGTGGTCTAATACCCCGCCAATCCTACTTACTAGTATTTAGAATACAAGACAAATACATACATAATTGTTATATACATCTCAACATTAACTGATAAATGAACGAACATGCAGGGGAAAATAAGCTGGCAATGAACACGAGGGATAACTTCATCCTTTTCATTAACAAAAAAAAATAAAACGCGCTAAAATAATCAGTAGAGTTGGATCAAATACAATACTGGCCAATACTAAATTGATTCGTCGTGCCGCGTCCTGTTCGATATGAAAACCATATCGACGCATACAACGCGTCTTAAACACATTGTTTACGCGAAAGTCGCGTTGGGCGACAACTGTAGCATTTTAAGAGGAAAAAAAAACATCTTGTCCGCCAGCATGACCTGAATGTCTATCCCTAGAGGAATTGGCACGGAATAAGGGGCCGACTATTATAAGCTCGGGGTCCTACAAACGACGACAAATCTTACATGGAAATGATAGACTGGGCCATTATTCGAAAGTTAAAAAAAGCACCAAAAAAATTTCTATTGGATTGTTCGTGAGAAACATGCCATTCGAAATTCGAAAAACAAACCGTGACGTTTGAAGAAATGAGAGAGAGTTATATGAAATCGAATGCAAAAACAGGACAGACAATGGCCGTAGCGTGGCGTGGTATTCGACAAACTTGAATGGAAAGTTTTTTTTGGGGGGGGAGGGGTCACGCCAAATAATATGCTATACACATTTGGTGCTCAATTTTGCTGAACTGAACATCTCAAGGTACTGATCTAAATCATTCAATTTTTGTAGCAGGCGTTCGGTCCGCGCCTTTCGCACATTATGCGAGATCTCGCAGTGCACGTCAGAAAACTAATCATTCAGATATTGGTTTCGAGAGTTTATTTCGTCTCGTATGCATTGTGACTAATTTATCTAGATTACAAAAAATATATAAAATAGAAGTTTCTGGAAAGTGTCGATTCAATCACAGTCCCTCTATCAGACTGACTGTGGCTCAACGTTGCATTCCTACTAATTGGTATGCAGAACCCCCCACCCCACTAGGGCCAAGGACCACACGCGCCTTCTATTTTCCAACAGTTCGTAAGAGATCTTATTCAACGGAATCCGGTAGTTTAAAATGTATAGGCGCGTCACACAAAAAAATAATGTAAAGTTGCTTACGAAAACAAAAATTGACTGATTTGGCGATTTAATGGATACAACTACCGTCAGCACAGAGCTACGGTGCAGTGTTCTAATATTTCTGGATTTGTCGCAAAGCCCAATTTACATGGTAATAACAATCAGTGGAAATAGTTAGCATGCAATACAAAATAGTGTTCGACATTGGCCCACATGACTTGTACAATCGTTGTAGGATGTATTGTTTACGTGAAATATTAACGCTACAGTACAGTGTCTGTGTTCGAATAAGACGATCAGCCAGTTACTGTTAGATGTTGCGATGACGTCATACAAAATTAGTTAATGGAGGGTGCAAGTTTCATTGCTTGATTTTATGCCGAATATCCACGGCCACTCGTTTGAATTCAGTAAGTGTTTTTCACGCGTTGTATACGTCAGTGGGGGGGGGGGCTATATCAAACAACACGCGGTGTGGCGACTATGCTACTTCAAGTTCTACTAATGAATTGGATGACATTTTCTGGAGGAAAATAAAAATATTTTATTTCTTTAACAGCGATTGTCTTAGCTTCGCTGACCAGGTCCCAAATTAACAACTAGTAAGTTATCCCGGAACATGTTGGGGACAAACATTAGAGATAGCTTCGACCCGTCCACATATAAAGCCGGACCATGGAGGTAACCTCCATGGCCGGACGTAGTTGGGAACTGCGAGCACTGCTGCCAGGCAATTTGTCCTTTTCACCATCGATCGATTTACATTGGCGTTAAAGTGGGTAGAAGACAGACAACCAGTAAAGAAGACGGACAAACCTTCTGTACCGGCATGATGCTATAATACCAGGTGATTTGCTTCCCCCTGAGGACGGACGAAAGATCAGTAATACACAACGCCTTTGTTACAGACAGTTTCTCCTCTTGAGTGCTGTCGACAAAATCTGAGCTGAGTTTGGTTTGATGTCAACAGGTTACCATTCACTATATATAGTGTAAATGCCAACATCGCAATTTGAATATTACGAGTCCAGGTGATGTACTATGTCAATAGCCACTACTGTCCGCAATGTGCAAATTAGGTGTTATCTTGCATATTTAGAGTTAAAATTATGTAGCGTGTTAGTTTGAGAATGTGTTCGTCATGCATTAGATGAAAGTGTCAACAATCGCAGACATAATCCACCATAATCGTGCACGTTCAATCGTCTATAAATCTAGTACATACATTGTTTGAGAAAATTGTACGTGGTTTCCATGGCAACCAGACACTCACGGGAGTGTCTATTTTTCAGAGAGTACTAGTATTCTGACTAGTTATTATATCAACTGTCATCAGTCATCAATTAATTAAACGATATTACAGCCCTGCTGTAGAATTCAGAATATTCGTCAACTAATTTTGATTATGCTATTCTTCCGCTTTGCGAGTCGTCGTATGTGCGCTTAATGCATAAGTAAGGTAAAAAAAATTGTTTTGTTGTTCTCAGCGACCGACCGAAAATTATGAAATATCGGGTGGCGGTTTTGTTTTTTTTTAATAGGCCCAATTATTAAAAACTCACCATTTTAAGCAGTTAAAAGGGTTTCCTCTAAAAATCATTTGTTTGATCCCCAGGGTCCCCGGGGGCTTAAGTGACGACTTTGAACCTCTGGTTGATCTGTATTTTTCTGTCATGTTCCGAATACTGTCTGAAGAGCAAACACGTCTTTTGCCATTTCAGGCCATTTTGACATTTGCGAATCGACGGATAGTTGATGCACAATATTAAAAGTATCGCCGCACCAAGTATTTTCTTAATTAAATAAAAACATTTTTTTGAATCAAAAACAACACGTTTGTTGTAGTAAATATAATTTTTAATTTATGAAATGCACAAAATGTTATTGAATTTACAAAACGTGACATTTTATATTAAAACTCTTATCCGCCTACATCACAAACAAAACGACGGCTTATGCACGTTGTTTTAGTGCTGTCAGTATTCTCACTTCCGGGTTTGTCATCGTGTGTACAGCGGTATGGCGAACACGTTTGCTGTGTGCATGACAGCAAAAGCTGGATCAACTATTATGAATTACCAAAGTCATGTCGCTTAAAAAAAAAAAATCTGACCAATTTTTAAATTTTCCGACTTGAGGGCAACATAAGTTTTTTTTTCGGCCTAATGTATCTCTTCGTGGTCGCCGTTGTGCGCGACCGGTCACTCATGAATGCAGTATACGTTCAAGTTGTATTATTCTAATTAAACATAATGTGGACTCGGAAATATATAAACATTAGAGACATTAAGATGCGCATACGAGAACGGAACGAGAACGGACACGTCACTGCTTTGTGCATGACCTCCGCACAAACCAATGACGTCATCGGTTGCCTGGTCGTTCGGCAGTCGTTTTGAACGTGATCAAGGTGACTGACTCACTCGTAGTTGATTTCCGAGAGCTTTTCTCGTTGTCAATTTTGAATAATTTTCATTGACATTGATAAAACGTTTTATATTAGAGTGTTTTTGAATATTTATGATGAAATAAGAAATATTGGATGCATTTTAGCTGACATTTATACCCAGTGAAAACGCATGACATTGATCTGCTAAAAGAGGATTCGGCAAACAGGCCTAGGACCTCAGCAGAGTGGATGGAAATAGTGAGAGCTCTGTCAAATGTCTGTGAACTAACTACTAATTCTGATTCCGGACGTGAAATGACATAACAAATTTTATTAGGTAGTTATTTTGCCCAATGAGAGACGGATTGACATGGTTCTGGTTTCAGTTACGTTCCCGTTGTGGGCGCTTGTACTTAATCGTTTTCTGACACCCGAGAACGTAACGCAAACGCAATTAGAACATCACGTTACGTTCCCGTTACGTACGCAAATCTTAAACTCTCTAATACAAGTAATTATAATAAGTTATCAATGTCTCTAACCATTAAAAACTAACTAATGTAAAACATGTCTTTTTAGCTAGCATTTATTTTAGCTAATTTTGCTAATCTGTAATTTTGCTAATTCAAGATGCAGCTAATTTAACAGAAAGTATATTCTTACTTGGACAAGTCGATACTTTAAGCGCGGTGTTCGAATTTCATGTAAATAAACAATGTATTTTACACGCGTTGTATACGTCGCTATGAGTCCCTTATCGAACACTGGACGCGGCACGACGACTGCCGCGCTTTTAAGATTCATGCCATGAGTCAAATCCGCTAAAATTGCATGCAGCTATTTCAACGTATTCCACAGTATGTGGCCACATGTGATGTTCAGTATTTTCATAGAGCTAAAAATATGTCACTTTTATCTACAGGGTTTATTTATATATACATTGTAAAGCCCGAGTAGGCGGGACGGGTCGGCGGTCTATTTGAAGATATAACGTCCGGCCATGGACCGGAAAGGAGATGTATAGCTCTATGGTCTAGCTTATCATATTATGTTATTGCGGGGAGGAATTTATCTCCCAGAAGAGCCCACATCCGTGGTGCTTCATCTGACCATGGAGGTAGAAATCTGACTTAAAGCTCTCCAATCACTCCGCACCGTGTTTTATATTGGACGTATACAACGCGTGTAAAAGTCTGAAAATACATTGTTTGTTTACACGCGCTGCGCGACTCCAGATTGTAGCGCTTTAAAATTTGCAACATCACGCCATCTATGAATATGTGTTTGGCGAGAGTTGCAAACTTTCAAAAACATTCAGTGAAATTCTATTTCGGAAAAAGTTACTATCTGTTGCCAATGTTTTCATAAAATTTGCATATTGAAATTGTAGCAGGTGAACAGTTATATAATGACCAACTTGAATATCATGGCGTACAGGCTATACGAGTAGTCCGTGGCTCAATAAACATACGTCGAATTATCGGTAGATCAAAGGACTGTGAATGTAGGTAAGGCCATTTCTTTCCTTCCTTCCGGAGTTCCATTTTCAAACCCACCTATGGTTGTTTTGCTGGTCGTATAATCCTATTTAGAGCTGGGTATTTCATCAATGTCAAAACTGCCGCTGCGGCATAAAAATAACTATAAATAATAATATGAATATTAATATTATTAAGCACAAGTTGCAGTAGTCGCGACCATACTGAGGCGTGTTACCGTGGGGCTACGGGGGGGGGGGGGGCTACAAGTTTTGTAAGTTAAAGCGCGGTGGTCGTTGCGCAGCGCGTGTTCGAACTTCATGTAAATAAACAATGTATTTTACACGCGTTGTTTACGTCGCTATGAGTCCCATATCGAACAGAACGCGGCACGACGACTGCCGCCCTTTAAACGAATTGTTCTTATCAGTACACGTGCGTCTTACCTAAAAACGCATGTGTTTAAAATATCAAGTGACAGAAACATGGGAACATCGTGGGAATGTAGGCTGTCACTCAAGTCGAACCCGAAAATGAATTGAAACCAAATCCGGGGCCAACTTCAGTATACAATTTACACAACTGGAATGAAATCTGAAAGATCGACATTGAACTAAAAACAATCAAGTTGAACTAAAATTAAATCGTTCGATTTTTGAGGCAGACTTCCGATTCACTTTCACGCATTACGCGAGATCACGAAGTGAGATTTTACTTCCCATTTTATAAATAATAAACTCTGCATGACAACACGGTCTTTCTTGAGTGACCACTGTGACAACTAGTCTGACATGGTCGCATGAGTTGCACCCTCCGCGGTGCTCCAAATCCAACACACACAGTAGGGATCTGAGGCCGTTTAGTTCGGCCGACGAAGGCGCCACTCACGCCTACATGTCAGGCTGATGACGACCCACACTGAACTGTTTTTGATGATATCGTTTTTGGTTTCTTTTCTGTTTCATATCTCAACTAGTTAAATGGGACTGAGATTTGATGAAGAGAAAACTTGAATCACGACTGTTAATAAAAACAAAAGGATGACAAATTGTAAATAACTTGAACAACAAATAACGCGAACAAATAAGTAACGCGATGCCAATTGTATCATCTTTTGGACAGCGCCCTCACTATTGGTATGTTGTTACGTGCATCTTATCTAACGTTCATTTTAGACCTCTTCATTGGTTACCATTAAATGATACATTTCGTATGGCCATCTGGCGCATGCGCAGGTGACGACTCCCCCGCTTTAACTATTTGAATAATTATTGAAACGCTTTACAAACTTCTACAGCAAACACGCTATAATTGCCTACTTGAAATTCCCTGTGTCAAAAAAAACCCTGAATATATATTACCTAAAATACAAATTAATCCGTATCACACGAGGTTTTCATATCATCAAGAAACAAGTGGTTAAAACTGTCGCAACCCTGGCAGAACAAATCAGGTCTACGATTAATTGCAAGAAGACAATTGTGTTATCCGCTCTTTGAAGTTAATGACGCATCTATAATGCCTACCCTGTTTTATTGTTCTGAAATTTTAGTATCCCAATATTGTGAAACCATTGTAAAAAATACAGCGAATATGGCTTTGTATTGGGTGTATGACAGGCGTCATGAAACAGGCAGTTTTGTGGGGCGGAGATTGACAATGCTCGTCGTCACCTTGTGTCGCTGTGTCGGTTATTGGGGTGGGTTTGGCTATGCATGTCTTGCTTGGGTTTGTATGCTACACGAATAAGTTCAATTTTCACATTGAGAGTTTCCGATGTAAGTAAACAAACACGGAATGGAAATACAAACGATAAACCGAAATTACGCACATGTATTCTGTAAAATATGTTAATGATGTGAAAGAAGAATTTCATATGATGTTCTGCGAATAAAATTTCTGCCACACTGGAGTGCCACAACCCAACTACGATAAATTCCGTCGGTTAATGAGTTTTTGTCATGTTGTATATAAGGAGCTGTAGTATAGAACACGTTTGGCTTAGTTTTTGTGTTCAATTACGGCGGTGTTATTTTTCCACGTTTCTGTGGTTTCGTCATGACTGTATGGATGTTTCGA